TTGTTATATTTTGAGGGGTTGCTTTTTTAGTCCTAAAGGCCATTCTAATAGCAAAACCAAAACAATACAGGAATTCTTCTGTTCCCTGCAACTGTATGGAGAAATTTTCACCTGAAATTAATGTTGGAATTAATGACTGATCATCTGAGCTGCATCCTGATCATCTGAGTCCAAACTTTCCTCAAGTTCCTACAGGAAATTTCACATTAGCCTTTCTTGTAATCCTTTATAAAACATGGATACAATGCCATATAAATGCCTTTTAAATGCATTTTCTTTATAAAGCTGCAGAAGAGGAGGATGAAGAACCAGTAACAGGGGCCAGTAAGAGGGTCTGCAACAGCACAGACACCTCTGCACAAGGTGAGTTACCCAAACACATTGTACAGTTACATCACTCTCTGGGGGATAAAGGCATGGAAATGTCTTTTCTCCAGGGCACAGGAGTGAACACAACATGTTCAGCAGACACAAGCTGCTGTTCCAAGGTTGTTCCTGCAGTTACACACAAACTCCAGGAAGCAAAAAGCAATGGACACTGACCCTGGGCTCCCCTGTTCTTGCCAAGTTCTCTATCGTCTGTTCCTTTGCTGCTCTTCCTTTCTCTGGGTCACCTGGGGTTTTTCCAATTTCTGCCATGATCACAACATCAAAACCTAGACCATGAACTCTCTCCTCTTTTCTGGTCACTGAGCAGATCCTGAAGAGCAGAGAGTGAACATGCTGTCCATGGCTGTGTTGGGTTTGAGAGTCCTGCTGGCAAAGAGCATCGCCTTCAATGCCCTCATGAGTATCAAGTTGTTTCTTTTCTGAGGTAAGGAGCACACAGCCATCAAACAAAGGTTCATAGGCCCAGTTTCATTAAATGTACTTTAAACCTCCCTCTGCTCTTCCAGTCACGGGGAATGAAGGCAAGAGGAACCCGAAGAAGAGCAGGAAAGAACATGAACCAGCAGCACAAGGGGGTTGAACAAGCAGGGGCAGAGCAGCTGACAGAGACCAGCCAGGACACAAGGCAGCACCTTCCCCTCAAGACATTGAATCCTCTTCACTCCTGCCTGGCCAGCTGATTTACACTGAAGAGTTTTAAGTGCTTTTGCTGTTTCCTCTCCTCTGAGGACTGAGGAGGGTGAATTTATCCTCATCCTCCTGCTTAGCAGATCTCCCCACTCCTCTGGCATTTGCACACAAGTGTCCAACCTGCATCAATAGCTTTGAAAACTCCAGTGCTGACTCTAGACCTGTGGCCTTTTAAAAGCACCTTTGCCAGGCATGTTGTGTTACTGCCTCTAGAAGTGGAGTGTTACTGCTGAGAGAATTCAAGCCCTGGAGCTGCCATTCCTGGCTCTGGGTTTTAGACAGATTTAATAACATCAAGTGTGTATTGCAGATGAGAAGAACTGTGTAGGATCTGAAGTGATTGAATTCAAACAGAAAATGTTCATTTCTTTATGAAGCCTCTATTTCTTCTGCCAAATGTGTCTCATGTGCACTTTAGGTTCCTGTAGTAGTGACAAAAATAAAGTACTGCCAGGCCAAAACACTGTGGGGTTTCTGTGCTTTTTCTTCCAAAGCAGGATGGGGACAGCTGAAATCCAACTCACCTAAAGCCCACTGGGATTAGAAACCCAGCTTTGATAATGCAGATTCCCTGTTGGCTGATTTTGTCTTTTCCAGACTCTGCAGGGAAGTGTCTCTGGCACATTCAAGAGCCTCAGTGAGGAGAGTCCTTGCTGAAGGCATGAGGGAGGACAATGCTCACATCAGCAGAGAAGAAACCCTGCTGTTGTTTTGCACTCTCTGATAGGGGGAAGGGGCCACCAGGCAATAACATCGGGTGGTTTGATGCAGTGATAGTTTCCATAGCAACTTGGTTCTTACCTTCCAGAGCCCAGCACACACCTTCCCCAGCTCATGGCCCTCTCACAAGCAACAGGCAGGATGCTGTGGTCACCATTTCTGACTCAGTTCCACCAGGCAGCACCAACCCTCCCCTGCTTTTGAAAAAACAACTTAACCACATCCTGAAGGGCAAAAAAGCCTTTCCTCCCTCTGCCTGAGATCCTGCTGGCTTCAACAGAGCCTCTGCAGAGGTCATGGCAAGGTGAGCTGCATTAAGCTGGGTCAGGACAGACCCTCAGGCCCTGCAGACACCCAGAGAAGACCCCCAGCCCTTGCAGAAACTCTCTGGAATTTCCATGGCAGATCCAAATCCAGTGAAATGCTCATTTAGTGCATTCCACCACCATAACACAAATCGTGGGGAGCCATTCAACAGTGTTTTTATCCTGATCTTCCAATGACACCCAGAACCTTTTTCTCAAGCACTCCACAGATTTTCCCAATCTCTCAGGCAGATTTCTCTTTTCAGAATACTCCCTTAGACAAAAACTGATGGAATCAGATGGACAGGAAGGAAAGGTCAGTGATTAAGTGCTGTTATAATCCCTTAGTTATAAAGTCTTGATGAAGTCTGGGACTAGGATTGGATCCATGCACACCTCCTCTGAGAAGGAGTTTAGAAAGCAGGGGAGTCATTTCTGTACCTTTTGACTCCCTGGGAGGGACATCCTTTTACAGCTCTACCCATTTCTTGCCCTCCATCTCTGCACCAATCTTTCCAAATTAATTCCAGTTCAATGCTCCTGTTCCTGATGCATCCACGTAATAAAGCTGCAGGATGAGTGTTGCTGTTGGACTGTGCCACCCTTTGGAAAATTTCTATGAATCCTGCTCTTGCTGACCCCTCTGACAGTCAGAGTTTCATTGACCCAAAGCCCTCACTTCATGACAGGGTCCCAGACTGCCCCCACTAAGCAGTGGCTTTTCACTTTGCATTGGCAATGCAGAACATGCAGCTTAAGAAAACAGGAGAATTGGATTGTGTCCAGAAGAAACCCCACATCTGGGAGCTTTTGTGCAGTCCAACAGTAAGATTGTGTTAGTGTGGTTAATTCCACATAAGGGGACAGAATGTGCAGCTCTCTCAGCTGACATAAGATGAGGAATGTTTGGTAGAGAAACTGTGCTCCACATTATAAATACCCTCTGTTAAATGATGCATCTTTGCATGAGCAATTATCCTGAAATCTGCATAAACAATATTGTTCTGTAAGGGATCCCATGATACCAAAATAATGCAGGATGATTTTAAGCAGAACTCTTTGGTACAATGTGTTTTATCAGTACTATCTCTATTGTCCTACAGATTATTTTGTGTCCATATCTGATTGTGCTCTGACAGCCTTTGAAAATCTCCAGGGGTTGAGCCACTGTCCCTGGAGATATTCAAAAGCCACCTGGAGATGATCCTTGGCAAACAGCTCCAGACAATCCTGCTGGAGCAGGGAGACCAAATCACCTGCAGAGGTCCCTTCTGACCTCACTTGTTCTGCATTTCCATGACACCTTTCTCATACTGCTGGACATTATAAGAAGGTTAAAATTGCTTTATATAACTTTAGTCAGTGGTTTTGTTCCCATTTTGCCCAGGGAGAAAGGAAGTGAAGTTTCTTTTCCAAGGAGTGTTTCAGCACTCCAGGCCTGAGCTTAACATCTCAGCAGACTGGGAGCAGCACAGAAGATTCACAAAAGATAACAACCATAAATGAACATCAACTCCAAACATCACCCCTGGCGTGGTCAGCGACACCAGGTCTGGGAAAAGATCAATAAATGAATGAAGAATGAGAACTGACATAACATCAAGGGTGAAGGGATCAATAGGAAACCAAACCCTACAAACTGTGGAACTTGGGACCAATGACCACTGAATCAATGAATTTCCCTGGGTTTTGACTGTATAAGTACAAGAAAAGTCCTGTGAAAACCTGTGAAAAGTCCTGTGTGATGGAAGGATTTTCTCTGCACAACCTGCTCAATGAGTGGATTAAATTATTTCTGTAGCACGTCCTGGCCAGAACAACATCCTGGCCAATCCTGGCCAGAACAACATCCTGGCCAAAAGAAAGTCATGCCTTGATTCTCTAACACTAAAAAATGCTGTTGGAGAGTTGTTCTTTTTCCGTTGGAGAGTTTTTGTTTTTCCGGTAGTTTCAGGGACAAACCATCCACAATGTGAACTTCAATAAAACTTTTAAAGTAGTTAGAGGAGAATTTAAGCGTCATGAAGAACTCCAAGAGAATGGGTATTATTAAATAGTGCTTTTTACCACTGAATCCTTCTGCTTTCTTATACAGCATTAAAAATATAATGTAATAATCCTATTCCTGCATCTGCTGGGCATAACCTGACCTATCTGTTTTGTGTCCTGAAATAATAAAATGATCCTGGTAAAAGTAGATCTATTGATGTAAACTAAACTTCTTTCTGTGATCTCTCCTGCTACCTTCTGGCCAAAGTGTTTATTGTTCTCACATCTTTTTCAATTTTGTGAAATACAGTAAATAGCTCAAACACGAGAAAATACACAAAAAACCGAACCAACGAAACCACCCAAACCACCCCAAAGGTAGTGTTGTGTCTGCACATGTCACAAATTTAACTTCTTTTGCTTTCTGCCCATGGCAGCAGATGCCATTGGAAACTTCTGCTAAGTGATCCAGAGGCTTTAGAATGTCCAGGACCAGGCAGCTGAAAGAACTGAAAAACTGAAGTGAGATTCAGAGAAGCTTCATTTGAAACTTCAGACTAAAGCAGGGCTAGAGCTGGACATTTTTTGCAACAGAAGAAATGGAGTAGAATATGGGAAGCACTTGCAGCGCTGCTTACAAAATTCCTTAGGAATCTCAATCTCAAATACAGCAGTCTTACACTTGGGCTTCCTGCCTGTGTTATGCAGAGATCAGGATAAATATCTTAGTAAATTCCCATTCCTGACTTGTGATCAAAATGGAGTTTCTGTCAGATTTTGCCTTGGATTCACAGGTGAAAAACTCTGGGTTTGCTGAATTCTGTGCTAAGCATTTCTCTTTTCCAAATGCCAGGAAACACTGAAGGAAGGGAGGAGAATGGTGGAAATGAAAAGTGGTGTGTAGAAAATGACAGGAGGAAACCCAAGGCTCACCCAAGTGAGCACCACAATGTTAATTTAATTCAGCTCCAGCCTTGATTTGATCTGGACCTTATTCAGCATGCAGTGAGTGATGTGTGCCCTGAGTGGGTGGAGGAAGGAGAACTATGTGGGGCTGCATTCAGGACATCATCATTATTGCATTTCTGAAATCCCCCCCAAAAGCAAATCATCCACTTATACATGTGCAGAGAAACTCAGGATAGGCAGCAAAGAGCTGAAATGGGCATATCCATCACAGGAAGTCGTTAGGAGGATGGTTAATTATCTGCCTGCAAGGGCAAGTTCTCTTTCTCTCTTTTTCTTATATTTCAGTCAGCAGATATGGTCTGAACTGAAGGATTCGGAACCTGATCTTCCCCTGCAAAACTATTCAGCACTGGGGAGTGCAGTGCTCCTGGGAATGTCTGCCTTTCCAAAGCACAGCTTTGAAAATAGATACCAACTCTATGATTTCTGTAGGGAGAGCCTTGGTTGATTCCTGACTACACCAGAGCTTCCCATCATCAGGACACTTCATCTTTTGTCACCTGTATTGAAACATAACCTGCAAGCAGACAGAGTAGAGACACCCCAGCCTTCATTACTGGGCATCTCTAACAGGCATTTTGTGCATCCAGTTCTATTTTAATGACAAATAGAGTCCCTGGCCACTGTGTTCCACCCACTTGGGCGCACTGCTAGATCATCCTTGGGAGAATATATTTCTCTAACACTTGACAGGAATCACCCCCAGAGGCTGAGAGTTTCTGTCCACTTCCCAATGCCCTTGCCAATGCCCACAGCCCTGCACAATATCATCATGAGGAGCACATACAGGAACATACACAGGCTTAGCTACCACAGCCACAGCCACAGCCCAAGCAGCATTGGCACCAGTGGCTCCATAGCTAATACAAGTAATGCTTGGATCAGATTTGTTTCCAACCCACTCTGGGCACATCTGTTCTTCTCTCCACCCTTCGTGCCACACACTGGATGCCAAATACGGCTGCTGTGGTTCAGGAATGATATTTCCCAATTTAGTGTTCCCACTGACCCACTCCAAACCAAGCCTGAGGCTCTTTCAAAGGATCACAGAGAGTGTGAATATGGGGAGGGCTTAAAGGAAAGATGGGGAGCACACAGGGTGAGAGACACCCAGGAAGGCACCAACAGCTTCAAGTTCTGCTCCTCCTGNACCCAACCCAATCCAACCCAACCCATCCCAACCCAGGATCCTCTCTTGGAGATGAGCCCAGGCCATGTGCCCTGAGCTGCACTGAACCGCACATTTCCCATCCTGGGTCATGTGAGCTGTTCCACCACTTCTCTCTGCTGTCCATGAGGTGCCCTGCACCTACTGGTGGAGCTCTAATGTCTCATGTTTGCTCTCCTACTCTCTGTGTTTCTACACAGGGGCTGTGAAGAGGCACCCATCCAGTAATTACTCTGGTAATTGCCCAGTGGATTTTCTTTTTCCTCACAGATACTCCTCATGTATGTGCACACTCTCACAGTGCACCCCTTTCAGCCCTTTGGTTTTTCATTATTTTGAAGCCTGTCCTGTTCATATCATTCCTCACCTGTTTTGTACCAACATTTCCTGATAGGCAGAGACTCATCAAGCCCTTCCTTTGCTACAAAAGGCAGGGATGGGTTCTCATAGCTGCAGGGTCTTAGAAGGGTTTGTGATACAGAAGTTGAATATCATGAAGGATTTGGTCAATATGCAACACGTCCTTTACTCTTTGATCCTTGCTCCCAAGGTTTCAGTGCATCTGCACAACAAAGAACAATCATCTTGTCAACTTTCTCCTCTTACCTAAAACACCATAAAGACTTTCTAAGGTACTAAATGAACCCCAGACACCAATTCTAAGAGCCCAGAGGGCAGATTCCTCCTGCTTCTGAGCACTGAAACTAAGGGGAAAAAGTGGACAGCTTCCAGCAAGTCAGAAGAATTTTCAGAAATGCTTGGAAATAACATGAAAAGTACTGATAATTTTCCGGCTTTCTATGCAGCTTAACTCTCTCAGACTTTTCAGAGCTGCCATGTAATCCCCAGGTTCTCATTTACTACTCAACCTTTCTGCTATTATTTTAGATCCTTCCTTGAAAGCCATATGGTGTTTCCTCCTGTGGTACGTTGGGTCTTAAACCACTGAGGAAGTCATGTGACTGCCTGTACAATCCAAAATTCTGTGTAGTGGAACAGAGACAGTTTTTGCTATGAAATTTATCACTGTGTACCGGGGCAGGAGTACCACAATGATATAAACAGCATAGGGACCTGTACAAAAACAGAAAGAGGGAAAAAAGGTGAGATATTTTGGGAGAAAAAGGAGATGGGTGATTGTAATGATAAAGAAGACAAAAGAATAATTCCTTCTATATTGCCTTTTACCCTGGATGTATAAAAGAGCTCATGGGGGTTCTAAAAGGTGGAAGAAAGGGAGAAGTTTAAAATTCTATACTCAATCAAGCTATTTGAAATCACAGAACTATTCCATTAACTTTCTTTCCTTTTCCAGTTTTGGAAGTAAATGTACCTCTGGATCTCCTCATAAACCTGCACCCATGGATAATTAGGACTAATATCTGGCTTCTCATTGCCCATTTTTACAACACTTTTGAATACCATGTGGAAAGAGTGGGTTATTGGAATGAGTCCTAGCAGTGTGAAGATAGATAAGCTTATATTTGGACCGGGGACGACACTCACAGTTGTACCAAGTAAGTGACATTCCTTTATTTTTCAAATTTCAATTAAAATTGAGGTGGGGGTGAAAATGGAATTCAAAGGTTTGGGTTCAATGAAAGAATTTGCAGCTGCAACAATCTCTTGAGTGCACTTGCTCTCCAGCCAGGCTTTCAAGCCAAATCCTCAGCTTGCATCTGCTCAGGAAGGTTTCCCAAGAACACCTGGGCTGACTCTGCATAGCACCATTATTCCATGATCCCCAAATGCCATCAGGGCTCTGCTTAGCATGTGATAACTTCTTCCCAGCTTGGGCAGCACTGACTCAAATTTACTGTCAAGTGTCCAGTTCTCCAGTGGATTTCCACTGACTGGCTTGGGGCAGGAATGCAGAGCTCAGGGAAGAGCTCACACTGCTGAGGAGTTCTGAGACACATCTGTAACTGCCTGGTTTGAGAAGTTCTGCTTGGATGCCAGCACCACACTGAGTGTGTCCCCAGGGAAGTAACTCCACTGGCCTGGGGACACAGGAGGAGCAAGGAGGTTAAATGGCCTTGGGCTTAAATTCTCACAAGTGCCTGATATCCAATAAACTGCTGGAATGAAAGACAATTGGCTCCCAGGTTGTGTGGGCTCTGGAAAGACCAGTGTGGGGAGTAGGGATTATAAGAAGCCTTAGTTATTCCTACCTTTATCTGGAATTTCATTATGTACAAAAAAGGTGCATGTCTCCCCAAGCAAAGTTACCATTCTGAAGAAAGACCTCTTCCTTCCATGCTGCTTGGCATTTTTCTTTTCCAAAGACAGCAAAAGACAGGATATTTTCAGAGCTGCACAGAGATTCTGGTATTATGCTTGATGGTAAAAGATATTGGGCCTAGTATCAAAGTCCCTTTCAAGTCTGCTGAAATACTTAATAAATTTCAGCCAAAGTTTCCAGGATGTTAGCAACCTCCCTCTTTTTGTTTTGAATTCCTTTGGGAATGCATTTTAAGATGTTTAGAGCACGAATACTTCACTATGCAAATCTTTTGAGAGTTCTCCCTAATCAAATAAAATAACAACCATTAGTGTCACTTTGGGATACTCCAGGCATATTCTGTTGAGGGCTCAGTTAAGGGCAGAAGTTTTCCTTTTGGTTCAGGTTTGATTATTCCAGATTAAACATTCATTGAGAATGTTAAGGTCTGTCACATTTTAGAATATGGGGCTTCTCCTGTGACTTTATGAGACTAAAGTGACAAAGAAGTAAAACTTCTTGTCCAAATCAATTGTCAGAACATAAAACACAAATCCCTTCCAGAAGCAAGCAGTGGTAGGAATTCATTCAGGTAATGCAAACCTGTGGGACTCAGGTGAGGCTTCTGGGGTCAGATAAAACAAACCTGCTCTCTGAACTACAATTGCACCCTGTACATTAATTCTTGCTGAAGATCTTGCCCAGGGAGCCATTGCAGAGGAGCAGCTTGTTTGTATTCTGGCTGTTTGGAAAGCCTGCAGAGGAGACCACATGAAAAGCTTCTCAGAGTCTTCTCAGAGAACACAGAATGCACAGGACTGACAGGCTCTGGCCAACCCTGGTACAACACCTGGCAAGGAAATGTGTATAGGAAGAATAGCAAAATGAGCCCTTTTTGATTTACACATTTTAACTGTGTGTTACCGCTGCTCTTGTCTTTGGGAAGGGAACTCAACTGACCGTGGAGCCAAGTAGGTATCCTTTATACATTACCATTTTCTGAGTTGTTACTCTTTCATTTTTCCTCTTTTAATATATTTTATTCACCCTAAAATTCATACAGACACCTATTCATGTTTCTTAGTCACTTATTAGACTTTCTATGTGTAATATTTTATATGAAACTAGACAATTTATATGTAAAAATATTCTAATCCCTCTTCTCAGTGTTGCCAAAGAACTTGAACTCCACAAGGGAAGTTCTGTCTGCTAGAATTCTGAATTTCTTTGGGAAATACATCTCTCCATTTATTCAGACTTCTTAATAAGATTTTCATAGTTATTGTTGGGTTTTAAAGTCATGTTTGGACAGTCTAAAGGTAAATAAATTATCTGCAGAAGTTGGCATACGAGGTCTTAAGAATATCTGTTGTGTCAGAGTTAAAAATACAACACTGATAGCACAGAAGGGTAATGTACAAAATCATAAAATAAAATCTTATGCAACAATTCTGTACTAGTTTAATCTTTCTAAATTGTTCAGAATTTAGGTTCAACTGAACTGGTCAAACCAAGTTAATGGATGTCGATTTCTGTTGGGTGTCTGGAAGAGACAGTAATAGAAAAGCCAGTATTCACTTATGTCTCTTGAATATGTAAGGCAATCCAGATAGAATTCTTATGTTTTGGAATGAAATTGCTGAGAAAACAGAATAAGTGGACTCCTGGAGTGGTATTCATAAAAGTTTCCTTCTTGTCTGTGTGTAGGTCCTCTATGAAATCAAGGGCTCACTTACAAGCATAAGCCTTGGCAAAAGGAAGCTGTGGGATTAAATATCTTATGAAATATGCCCCACATACCCCTTTCTGTCTTTAACTTAATCTATTGGAGGAAGCAGAAGAAATAAAGACCACAGAAAGACCAGTAATGCTACAAATTATTCACAGCTAGAGTACATGTGAATTTTCAGTCAGGCAACACTTGGGTAAGCTTGCAGTAAAATCAGTCCTGTCCAAAGCATGCTTTTCTTTACAGACATTCCAAAAACTTCTCTCCCTCAAGTCATTGTGATGAAATCAAGGAAACTGAAAGAAGGTGGCAGCACTGGGAAAGCAGCTTGTTTGGCAAGGAACTTCATTACAAAGAACATCAGCTTGGAGATGCCTGCTACGGAGGTGGTGTATGAACAGAGCAGATCCATTTTGACATCAGAGGGGCTGTACAATGCAATTAAGGTGGTCAATGTGACACAAGACACAGAGGTGACCTGCACAGCCAAATTTGCCAACAACACAATAACATCACAGCCAGGTACAGTTTGGTGGCACAACTGTCATTTATTTCTGGAGACAGTGACCCGTGGGGCTTTGTGTTCTCCTTTGTGACAGCATTGCCCTGGGCAGGCAGCAGAAATGAGAAAGCCATTTGGCATTTCAGCAGATAGAGCTGAAAGATGTTTCAAAGCATCTGGAAGAAATTCTTTCAACTATTTAATTATGTGGAGATGCTTTTTTGGGGGGGAGAATAAGGAAGACACACTATTTGTTCAAAATGTGAATTTCCTTATGACTAAATATTTTACCCTGTAGCAGTAAATCTGCTGCAGCACAAGCTGGAACAGCCATTCCAATATCAAGAAAAAGTTAAAAGGTTGGGTGTGTTGTGAGAGATTTGTTAACAAAATAACAAATTTTGTTATATATTTAAATAAAAAAACAACAAACAAAAAACCAAACAATTAAATTGTTATATTTTGTGGGGTTGCTTTTTTAGTCCTAAAGGCCATTCTAATAGCAAAACCAAAACAATACAGGAATTCTTCTGTTCCCTGCAACTGTATGGAGAAATTTTCACCTGAAATTAATGTTGGAATTAATGACTGATCATCTGAGCTGCATCCTGATCATCTGAGTCCAAACTTTCCTCAAGTTCCTACAGGAAATTTCACATTAACCTTTCTTGTAATCCTTTATAAAACATGGATACAATGCCATATAAATGCCTTTTAAATGCATTTTCTTTATAAAGCTGCAGAAGAGGAGGATGAAGAACCAGTAACAGGGGCCAGTAAGAGGGTCTGCAACAGCACAGACACCTCTGCACAAGGTGAGTTACCCAAACACATTGTACA